AAATTTTAATCAATCTTTTTTAAAAAAACTTGGAATTGCGCCTTTCTAATCTCTCTCCAATTTCACTCCGCCAATACAACAACTTCATTACATATTCATTTTCAATTCATTAAAGAGGTGGAAGAAGATAAGGGCTGTCGTCCTAATTTCTCTGTCATTAACATTAGTGAGGGACATCGACCAATCAAGATTTAGGCGCTTCCATTAAATACTAGTTTAATTTGAATAGTTTTGACTTCTCTTTACACAAAGTACCATTATATGACTAAAGACATATTACTTATATAACACAGTTAATGCAAAAATAAGAGGCCTTAATGAATGTCTTTGTCAACTCAACCGCAGACTAATATAATAAAAAAAATTTGTTTCAAAACTTTAATATAACAGATGTTTGCAACTGCCCCTTTACTAATGTAGGTAGAAGTTATGTTGGTTCGTGGATCTTGATTACGATTTGGACAACACCCGTGTTAACCGTCATTCCAAAATGAATTTTTCAAATGGCAGGCTTTATGATATTTATCATTAGCCCTTAAAATTTGACTTCAGCTTCCCCCCAGGGTGGGGGTACATATATAGCAATTAATTAACATTCCAAAATGATTGATCATAAAATTTCCAAAGGACGAGTAATCATCTCAATTTGATGCAAATTAGCACTCTCCTTATGAAATTCGTTTATTCAAGATATTGTAAACTTTTATGAGAGATTTTTGCTAACCTGATAGTGTTTATTTTTCTTTATGCAGCTCGCTAGCTCTGCTGCGAAAGAATAAGTGTTGATGAATTCATGACATGTGGAGAAAATTTTCAAGATTGGACTACCAATCAGCACACCTCAATGTGTTGCCATCCCTAATATCTTTATCCCTTATCTTGGTAAATAAAGGCTTGATTGCAAAGGTCTTTTTTTTCAACTGCATTCTCTATTAACGTGAATTGCACTAGTTTTGATTTTTATCAAATTTGTGAGCTCTGAAAGATGAATGAAACTAACATAATCACTGGGTATGAACTCAACTGAAATATGATGCAACAATACCTTGTGAACTGTATGCTTCTTTGAGTCGATTTCGCTTGTCGCTACTCCGTTATAAAATTCAGTTATATTTACTCAGATTTTACTTCTAGACTTGTTACTGCTTTTCCTTGGGATTTGAGTATGATTGCTAAGTACTTTTACAAGTTTAAATAATGCATGACTATTTATATCCGCCAAACACTCATTAGGCGTATTCGGTGATGTCTTCGTCTGAAGATTATTTCGCTTGGAATTAATGGTGCCTGTTCTTGGTCTCCTAATCAGTTCCTATCATAGAGAGGCTGGGAGAACAACTTCAATGGGTAACTTGGGCCTTATCTATGAGAACGTGGAAAGTGAAGTGTAATCAAGAGGCCTGCTAGTAGCAGATTCATAATCTTGCTGGATCAGAAATAAACACAAGCGATCCGCATCAAACCATCGCCGTGCTTCTTTCCTTCTGTAATTTTCTTTTAGGAGTTTGCAGGCCGTTGCATGGTATAGGTGTGCGATAGACTTACCTCCACGTGGTGCATAATGGGCAACGTATACTCATATGGCATAAAAGTCTATAAACTGGCAGTTGACTTCTAAATTCTAACCACCATGACTCCACTGTATGCCATATTCGACCCCCTTTCACAGTACTCATCTCACCTTTTCTCTGCCTTTGTGTCGGATTCTTTTACATCTGTGAATCACTTGTCTGTTCCCACTCTCGAACTTTTCTCACTTTGATGTTCCTCCTCTCTGTGAAGCCCGAAGTCAGCTATATGGCTAATGATAACTACTCAAAACGCCTGCCATTTGAAATAATAATATTAATGTTTAAACTTAAATAAACTCCTGAACAATTCGGGCCACTTAAGAAGAAAAGTTGTTATATCAAATGGCAAGCGTTTTGATGGTGATCATAAGCCTTTTAGTTGACTTCAGGCTTCACAGAGGAAGGGAACAGAAGAGTGTTACGAAGATGTAAAAGAGACAGACAAAAAGGCAGAGAAAAGGTAAAATGAGTACTGTGAAGCGGTCAAACATAACGTGAAGGTAAGATGATTACTGTGAAAGGGGTCGAATATGACATAAGTGAGGTGATGGTAGTTTGAAGTGAGAAGTCAACTGCCTTAGTCGAATATGACATACAGTGGGGTCAGAGTCAACTGAAGGTAGAAAAAAGGCGAGGTGAGTACTGTGGAAGTGGTGAAATATGACATACAGTGGGGTGATGGTAGTTTGAAGTCAGAGGTATATGACATACAGTGGGGTGATGGTAGTTTGAAGTGAGAAATAGGTAGAAAAAAGGTGAGGTTAGTACTGTGGAAGAAGTCGACAGTAGAGCAAAGGTGAGGTGAGTACTGTGGAAGGGGTCGAATTTGACATACAGTGGGGTGATGGTAGTTTGAAGTGAGAAGTCGAAGAGAAAAGGTAAGATGAGTACTGTTGAAGTGGTCGAATTTAAGAAAAAAGGTGAGGTGAGTACTGTGAAATGGTCGAATATGGACAAAGGTGAGGTGAGTACTGTAAAAATAGTCGAATATGATATAGAGTGGGGTGATGGTAGTTTGAAGTCAGAAGTCAACTGCCGATCAATAGACTTTTTGCAAGTCAGAAGTCAACTGCCGATCAATAGACTTTTTTGTCTTTGAAGCTAGAAGTCAACTGCCAGTTAATAGACCGAATATGACATAGAGAAGTCAACTGCCAGTTAATAGATCATGGTAATTGAAGTCAGAAGTCAACTGCCGATTAATAGACTTGGGGTCATGATAGTTTGAACTCAGAAGTCAACTGCCAGTTAATAGACTTACTCATGGTAGTTTGAAGTCAACTGCCAGGTAATAGACTTTAGTTTGAAGTGAGAAGTCAACTGCCGATTGATAGACTTTTATTTGAAGTCAGAAGTCAACTGCCAGTTAATAGACCTTTTCAGTCAGAAGTCAACTGCCGGTTTATAGACTTTTTTGCCGTTTGAGTAGTCAGAAGTCAACTGCCGGTTAATAGACTTTTTTGTGAAGTGAGAAGTCAACTGCCAGTTAATAGACCTTTTTGCGTTGAAGTCAGAAGTCAACTGCCGGTTAATAGAATTTTTTTGCCGATAGTTTGAAGTCAACTGCCGGTTTATAGACTTCGAATATGACATAGAGAAGTCAACTGCCAGTTAATAGATCTTAGTTTGAAGTGAGAAGTCAACTGCCAGTTAATAGACTTGTACCGTTAAAGTAAGATGAGTACTTTGAAAGGGGTCGAATATGACATACAGTGTGGGTGATGGATACTGTAAAAGTGGTAGAATACGGCATTCAGTGGGGTTAGTACTGTGGTAGGGGTCGAATATGACATACAGTGGGGTGGTGGCGTACTGTGGAAGGGGTCGAATATGACATACAGTGGGGTGAGCTACTGTGGAAATAGTCAGAAGTCAACTGCCGATTAATAGACTTTTTGATTTTCAGTCAGAAGTCAACTGCCGGTTTATAGACTTTTTTGCCGTTTGAGTAGTCAGAAGTCAACTGCCGGTTAATAGACTTTTTTGTGAAGTGAGAAGTCAACTGCCAGTTAATAGACCTTTTTGCGTTGAAGTCAGAAGTCAACTGCCGGTTAATAGAATTTTTTTGCCGATAGTGAGAAGTCAACTGCCGGTTTATAGACTTTTTTGCCGCTTTGAAGTCAGAAGTCAACTGCCGAATAATAGACTTTTTTAAGAAGTCAACTGCCAGTTAATAGACTTTTTTTGCCGTATGGCCGTATGATTATACGTTGCCCAGGGTGCACCACGTGGAGGTAAGTCTATTGTTGCCCAGGGTGCACCACGTGGAGGTAAGTCTATCACACCTCCCTAAGAAGAAAAAGAAAAGTAAAACGTTTACAATAGGTAGTTACTCTTGGAAAGGGAAAAACGAAGCTTAAATAAAAGCATTGCCACAGTACCTGAAGGTGGAACGCATATGAGAGTAGACAAATACGAATATACTGTGTCAAATTTGTCCCAATAGATCCCCTTCAATCCCCTCCTCACTTGCTGAGGATTGAAGCTCTTAATAGTCATAGTTGGTGCTTGTTAATTGAGGCATTTTTCTCCGATACTGCAAAAATTGAAAGATATCATGAGTTCAAATCTCATTAATCACTCATATTGGTTAATGATATTCTTTCGCCAAAAAATAATAACCAAGATGCGTTTACTCTCCCTAAGGAGGTCTCAAATGTCATTCTACTTCACTTTCCTAGTCAGATCATCTAAAATATCTCCCCAAAAGTGTTTTGTAGATTTGTCATTAATTGAAAGTTGAACAAAAAGTTTCTTGCTTTATTTTACTCAATATCATTTCCAAAGAAAGCCTATTTTAAGTGTTTTTAAGCATTAAAAACGATGCAATCTTATCAATCTTTAAACTCCTTCTACTCAGTGTCTAACTTAATGGCAATACCAGCTACAGGCCAAGTGTAGTATCTCTGATCTTGCACTGATCAGTTAAACAATGTAGTGATCTCATATTCTTGCCCTTTTTCTCTCCCCTTTCATATCGCTCACCATTTTACTAGTATTCTAAGTCTCAGGTGATAAGTTTGATTGATTGCAATCGGCGAATAATGAATGTGAAATCATATAACGCCTCGATCTTTCCTTGCAGTCCAGATTCCGAGCACTCGATAAAGTGACCGTTTTTTTCTTTCATTGTCTCTTTTAACTTTTTCTTCCTTTTGCCTCCATTCAGTTTTCATTTTCTGAGCTGGAAAAAAGTAGAGAATTATTTATTTCCTAAGATGGTTCATTGTTCTATTTCTGTCGGGTTTTTAAAGAAGCGTTTAGGCTCATTCACTTAACCAATATGAATGATGGGATAAGAGAACTGAAGGTCACCGCTTTGCTGAATCAATTAGAAGCAGATTTCGGTACCTAAAGTCAGCTTAAAAAACATCAGAAAATCAGTTGCAAAATAAAAGTTTTGCACACAAACAAGTTTTCTAAGCCACGATGATGCATCGAACTAGTAAGTGATAGAAAGTATGAAAATAACAAGTTTTTTGTGAGTTTCTTTAAATAAATTATCAAAGCATTTAGTTAAATAAAGTTAATATTACCCTACATTTTTAAAAATTAATCTCTGGTAGGGTGGTCTCTGTGCACACGTCTATGCGTTCCAGAAGAGTTGCCAATATGCACTTTACAAAATTATTCCTCAAGTAATTAGAAAACTTCTTGAGGTCACCACAGGCTGAGATAATTATGCTCCGGAAATTGATGACGACAAATATAAAATTTTAGGAACTTAAAGGGATTCAGTCATAAGGGGGTATATGATCACTTTAAGTTCTGTGAACACTTGATGGAAGTTCCTCGAGACTTGGATCTCTCTGCAAGGTGTAAGTAGTATTGTACTCCCAGTTTCAGAGGGAAGAGATCCCTTCTTTTCTTTGTTATGTCCTATTAAATTTATTGAATTTACACCTAATTGCTTGCCAGAAGATAAAGCCTAAAACACAGTTACAGAAACCACTTATAGAACTCTCAGAGCTTTATATTTACCATGAGTTTCGATTACTTTGTTTGTGTTATTTTGATAGCCAAGCAATACCCGTGAGGAAGTTAGCAAAAGTCAATTTGTTATACATCATTTATTTATATCGAATGACAGGCGTCTTGATGGTTATCATTAGCCCTTTAGTTGCCTTCAGGCTTCACAGAGGGGAAGAAACATCAAATTGAAAAAGTCGATATTGGGGGGGGGGGGAACAGAAGAGTGTTTCAAAGATGTAAGAGACAAACACAAAGGTAGAACAAAGGTGAGGTGAGTACTGTGGAAATAGTCGAATATGGCATTGAGTGGGGTGATGGTAGTTTGAAGTGAGAAGTCAACTGCCAGTTAATAGACTTTTTTGCCGTAAGAGTATACGTTGCCCAGGGTGCACCACGTGGAGGTAAGTCTATCGCACACCCCGCTATACATCATTATTCTGGAAGAAATATGTGCAGCTTTCGTGACGAATGCGATCATACAAAATCGCTGTGATCGCTGATTAATGTGGCTTCCCTTTGTAGATATACTGAGACTGGCACAAACCTGAATTATAGAAAAAAGAATCAAAGGGAGCCATAAGGATTCGAAAGGAGCCTTAAAACAAGCGGATTATGAACATCGTGAAAAGAAGCCGTCAATTGTTTTTTAAGAAAATCGCAATGAAGTTTACTTTTTTCAAATTGCAGGCTTTATGATATTAATCATTAGCCCTTAAACTTTGACTTCAGCTTCCCCCAATGGTGGGGGGGGGGTATAGCTTTGACTTCAGCTTCCCCCAAGGGTGGGGGGTACATATGTTGACTTCAGCTTCCCCCAAGAGGGGGGGGGTACATTTAAAGCAGTTAATTAATAGCAGTTCATTAGCAGTCTTCTTGCTTACCTTAATCTTTGACTTCAGCTTCCCCAATGGGGGGGGGGGGGTATATTTATAGCAGTTAATTAATAGCAATTCATTAGCTGTCTTCTGGCTTCCCAGTTTCTCTGGCTTTCCGTCATTGTTTTTAGGGCTGGACACCGAGTCAGGTGGGTCCCCTATCGTTGTCTTTAGGGCTGGACACCGAATCAGGGGGGGCTGTCCTTGTCTTTAGAGCTGGACACCGAATCAGGTGGGTCTGCGTTGTCTTTAGAGCTGGACACCGAATCAGGTGGGTCATCACCATTTCCTCCGCTAGACACCGAATCAGGTGGGTCTTCTCCATTTCCTCCTTTGAACACCGAGTCAGGTGGGTCCTCTCCATTTCCTCCTGTAGGTTACATAGTGGGCATGTGGGTTGAGTGTATACTCCCAATCCGTGAAGGCGTTTTGCCAGGCAATCGTGTCCCGTACGTAGTCTAAACTCAGCAACGGCTTCGATTCTTAGCCAAAGTCTAAACTCAGCAACGGCTTCGATTCTTGGCCATTCGGCTATGTGGTAGAGTGCCACTCTCCACTGTTTTTTCGATTCTTAGCCAGTCGGCTATTTCGGAGAGTGCCACTGTCCACTATTTCTCCCTTGTTCGCCAGTCGGCTATGTCGGAGAGTGCCACTGTTTCTCCTTTGTTCGAGCTTTAATTTCGTTGCACATTGAGGTCGGTCTCTCCTATTAAGTTCGTTGCACCTTGAGGTCTTGAATTCTCCCCTGACTAAGGTCTTCATTGTGTGGAAAGACATCGGCCGATCAATGCCTTACAAAATTGTTGTCCCTTTCTTAGCAAGTGCGTCAGCAAGCTCAAGCAATGAAGATTGTCAGGTTGTGGGTAGAAAAGAAACAAAGCAAACGATCTGATCGAACAGCAGAAACAATGCTAAATCACACCGATATTTCGTTGGTGTGAATTAGGATACTAGTTCAAGTTTCCAATAGGGTTGACTTCAAGATATGTATTCCTAAGTCCAGACATAATACCCCTAACACTTTTCGCGAAGTACCTTTTCAGTTTGGAAACGGTGTGAAGGGTAAGTCAGCAAGAAAGTTGATCTCTTCAGTAATACTACCAATTTCTTTAGCCTTCGACCTGAACATTTTTAATGCGAAACCCCAAATAACTTATTCATTTGCAGTGTAATGATGTTATTTCGGAATATGACTCTTAATTACATTAGCTGGAAGTAGTTACTTATTCATTTTCCGCAATATTTGTTCTTTTAAATGATCAGAGAGAATTAAGTAATAAATGCTTCGTTCATTTGTCATTTCATGTAAAATTGCCTTTTCTACCAAGCCTATGTAATTTTTATTTCATTTACATCAATCATGAATATTTTCCCTCTAATAAGTAACTATGTTAAAGTAGTTTTTAGCCACATATGTAATGCAGAGGTAATGGAAGTTCCCTTAAAGTGCAGATTCAAATTTGATAAGTTTTCATACAAGCTATTTCGCTATTTGCAAGCAAAAGGCAATTAATAATTCAAATAAGATTTCTATTTGGTCGTAAACCTCTCCACACAATCAATTTCCATTCATATGAAGTAGCAGCACACATTGATTCAGCCGTAATCTCTCTCTCTCTCTTACTCTTTTTGTATTTCTCGTTCATGCCTATTGTCTGGCAATAAGCAAGTGATACAAAGTCGGGCAACCACTTAAGCTATAGCCCAGCAATAAGGGAAACAGACGTGTAGCATGGAGCACGTTTATTCAGGACGTATGTTGCGGATAAAGTGTACACGCAGAGAGCTACTCATGATCAGGATGGGGGATTAAGTTAAACAGAGGTTGATGATTGGTCACTGTTTGTACGGTCGCTGCAGACAGAGTTGAACGGCCGCACCTCCCAATCCTGGAGAGCAGACATGCAGGCATACGATGACGCACACAGCGATATCGTGTCCCACAATCTCTCTCTCCCTTACTCTTGTTGTATTTCTATCTCATCTATTGTCTGGCATTAAGCAAGTGATGCAAAGTCGCCTTATGGTACATCATTTCGGCTTTTCCCCGTGATCCGATTCGCTCTAGCTTCTGCATTTTCTTCCCTTATCCTATTCCTTCCATCCCCCACCATCCTCCAACCCCCCCCCCACCCACCCACCCACCATATCATTCACTCTTTACTGCCCAATATACATTTATCAACCCCAACCCTTGATCTCTTCACAGGTTGAAAGCCTTCCATTTCATTAACCTCAAAAAGATTACAGTTACAATTGGGAAGAGAGGAAATACCAGGAAGAAAACGCTCTGATTCCTGAAAGGAATAACTATCAGAATTAGATCGATATTAAGTCCCATATTTAACTTGTTCTTTGTTTTTTGTTTCACTACCATAAAATTCAGTCTTGATTATATTCAACTGTTTACCATTCGTTTTATTCAGAGAATAGTCACCTAATATAAAGTGAAATTTATATGTTTGCTGTTCTGTAGTAGTATACTGGATTTGTTTTAACTTTAAGTTGTACCCTTGATTGTTGAGATTGGTCAGTTGAGCAATTTATTTATTTATTTCAAATGGCAGGCGTTTTGATAGGTATCATTAACCATTTAGCTGACTTCTGGCTTCACAGAGGGAAGGTTCATCAAAGTAGCAGAAAGTCGAGGGGTAAGGAACAGAAGAGCGATTCACAGATGTATAAGAGGCAGACAGACACAAAGGTAGGGAAAAAGGTAAGATGAGTACTGTGAAAGGGGTCGAATATGACGAGCAGTCGGGCCATGATAGTTAGAAGTCAGAAGTCAAATACCGGTTAATAGACTTTTTGCCGTATGATTATACGTTGCCCAGTGTGCACCAAGTGGAGGTAAGTCTATCGCACACCCCCAGTTGAGCAATTTTTTGTCCTCTATTCGCAATATTTGAACGGTCTTTGGTGAAGTTTAAATTGCTTAATGGATCTGGTTTATCTTTGTAATTAGAAATGGAGAGATTGTGATATGAATTTCTATCGCTGATTAGAGAATCATTAAAAAGTATTAATTCAAAATGATAAGTAACTGAGATTCTCAAGAATAATTATGTATGCAATTATTTAAACAAAAAAATCTGGGAACTTTTCTTGGAGGGATTGTGTTTGTATTGTCGTATTATGTGGCATTTTGTAAACTCACATCACCTTTACCATAAAAGGTTTATTGGTATCGTAATGCTCATGTGAATTTAGAATGGTTATTTGTTTAAATGCTTCACTCACATTTATTTATTCCATTTTAGCTATTTGCCTATGAATAAGCTCATGGAAACTCGTAAATAATTTAGTAAATACTTTTTTGGTGTCTGAATTTGCAATTCACTGGCTTTAATAATTTAAGTACTTTGAGTGTAAGAAATACTTTGAAATCAAAATATAAATGTATATTTTAGGCAACACGCTATGTAGCAAACATTTTATATTACACTAAATTCCATCATATGCATACATAAGTATATATATATATATATGTGTGTGTGTATGTGTGTGTGTGTGTGTGTGTGTGTGTGTGTGTGTGTGTGTGTGTGTGTGTGTGTGTGTGTGGGAATAATATTGCATCCTTTAATATTTTAATGCTACCACCCACACAGACCAAGCTCTCGGAACTTAAAAATTAGCTATCTAAGAGCCAGAACGTTTAAACTGTTTGTTCGGTGGATTCCTCTTGAAAATCTCACTTCCAAGCTTTGATCAAAAATTAGTTCACCTTTGGCTCCAAAGAGAAGCTGTCTTATTCTATGATTAATTCCGAGTGACATCTAAGGTGAAATCATGGTTAAAATCAACTATCAGAAAGCTATAATTCAATCTTTAAAATAATGGAACCCCCTCATCTCAAAGAATTTCTCATGAGGACAGTAAAATTCCATCATGCTTAATGGTGAAATATGGAATAAATCGTTGTTTTAAGTAGCAAAATTCAAAAGAGCAGTTTAAACGAAAATTCTGTATGTTCACCAAAATTTACTCTGAAGTTTTGTGATGTAATGAATTTAATGAAGAAATTCAACCTTATTCTGAATAAAAAAAAACCCAAAAATCTATATTTCAGTCAAATATGGCTCCCTTAAAATAGTGTACGTTAATTTATGTAGTTCTACAATTTATTGATCGCACATTAGAAAGTAGATTTATTTAAACTAAAAGGTTTTGTCTAATTTAAAATGGATTTGTTAGGCTGGGCCAAAAATAGTGAATTTGAAACTCTGTTATTGTACATTTTGAGGCATGTTAAAATAATGGGATCATTAAAAATTTTGTTGCCACTATGCCAACTGTTGATAATGGTTTACAAAAATGCAGCATATAAAGCATTACAACGGTAAAAGATATCGATTTTTTGAACATAGGAATCAAATTTTTATTACTCTTGGTATATCAGAAGGGGTGTCGCAGGTTTAAATCGTGGGATTCCATATAAAACTTGAAGTACATAATTAACTGAAACTTGGATCATAAGGGTTTTAATTCAGTGCGTAATAACCTAGTGTCCTGAATCCTCATTTTCATGATATGACTTCCGTGTAATTGATGAATCCATGTCCGCACTATTTATGGCATTTTTTGTTAGTATAAATGATTATTTAATCGGGGTGTGCGATAGACTTACCTCTACGTGGTGCACCCTGGGCAACATATACACGGCAAAAGAGTCCGTGGTGCACCCTGGGCAACGTACACTCACACCTTACCTCCACGTGGTGCACCCTGGGCAACGTATTCTCATTCGGCTTACCTCCGTGGTGCACCCTGGGCAATGTATATTTAGACTTACCTCCACGTGGTGCACCCTGGGCACCATCATACGGCAAAAAAGTCTATTAACCGGCAGTTGGCTTCTTACTTCAAACTACCATGACCCCACTGTATGCCACATTCGACTACTTCTACAGTATTCACCTTACCCTACTCATTATCATTGTGTCTGTCTCTTTTACATCTGCAAATCACTCTTCGGTCCACCCTCTTGAACTTTGATGTTTCTCCTCTCTGTGAAGTTCGAAGTCAGCTGAGGGCTACTGATAACTATCAAAATGCCTGCCATTCGAAATAAATAAATAAACAAATAAATAAACGATTATTTACTCTTGACGATTTCTTCAGCCTTTAGAAATTAGGTGGCGATATCTGAGCGTTATCGAAAAGATTAGTAAATTAATTCAGTCAAGTAGCTTGAAACTACCAATAGTTCTGGTTAACACAAATAACTAGTGGCTGTTTTAAGGCAACTTTATATATTTATTTACATCAAATGGAAGGCGTTTTTGATAGTTATCATTAGCCCCCAAGTTGACTTCAGGCATCACAGAGGAGGAGGGGGAACATCAAAGTGAAAAAAGTCGAGAGAAGGGAGACAGAAGAGTATTTCGAAGATGTAAAAGAGGTGAGCACAAAGGCAGAAAGAGGGTAAGGTAAGTACTGTGAAAGGGGTCGAATATGACATACATTCGGGTTATGGTATTTTGAAGTCAGAAGTCATCTGCCAGTTTATAGACTTTTTGTGTATGAATATACGTTGCCCAGGGTGCACCACGTGGAGGTAAGTCTATCGCACACCCCATTTTAAGACAACTTAAAACCCCTTAAACGTTATCTGAAATTTAAGTTCAATGCTTTTACTAGCACATTTAGTTACGGATTTTAAAAGCCAATTTCTTGCAGTCAGTATCATTTTCAGTAAATTCGAATCAGTTGTATTTTAGCCGGGTAATTAATTTTATTTCCATACTAAACACATGTAATTAAATGGCTTATCTAATGGAATTTTGCGTAAAAAACAAATGCTTTTATTATGAGTGGGTGTGTATTGGGGCCTTAACCGGCATCTCGTCCCTAGCCAAGAATGTTAAGCTGATTACCATTTGGGGAAAAGGGCTATTGGACTGCCATTTTTTTTTCTAATATGTAATAAAAGTTATAAATGAGGCATTACCGTTTAAGCAATTTAACTAAGACCTAAAATAGTTTTGTAAACATTTGTTAAAAAATTATTTAATCTCACTTAATTTTAAGCTCATAAATAAATTAAAATTAAATTATTACTTGGTTGATTATTTTTGTAATTATTTTAAATCAGTATATATATATATATATATATATATATATTTCAATTTGATGTTCTTCCCTTGTGTAAAGCCTGAGGTCAGCTAAAGGGCTAATGATAACCATCAAAACGCCTGCAATTTGATATAAATAAATAAATATTGGTCACTCGATGGTTCGCCTTCTAGAATTCACATAAGAGGATGTCTTCCTGTTTCCATTCTTGTGCTTTGATCACATCGTGGGTGGGTGGGTGTGTGAAAAATATCTCTCTCAACAAAATTTTCTTTTATTTAATTTAAATCTGTGATTTAATTAAACCTATTTATTTGAAAGTAGCAATGAAAAAGTGGGTTTCGATACCAATCGATATTTCGGAAATAGTTGGATTTCTTATCCTTATCAACTTCATATTCGTAATATTTTCAAATTATTTGACTTAACGGTTTATCTCCATTCGTTGGGGAAGATATTGCTGCATATTCAAATTACCTTCTAGGGGTTCATTTTAATTACCCAAATCATTGATGCAAAAACTTCTCCAAATTAAGGGAAGTGCAGATTCCTTTTTCTTAAATTTCTTCATTTATTAATAAAATTGTGCCCATTTGACTTTACGGAGTTGTTTGGCTTTCCCCATTTCAGAATATGAATAACATAATTCTGCACAAATATCTTCAAGGCGAATGCAGAAAAGCAATTGAAATAGCGAAAATCTATGAGGAGTCAAATGAGGAATAAAATGACACAGAGATATCGAAATGATGTTGATAATAAGATCGGAATATCTCAAGATGCTTGCACCCTTGGTTTTCAGTTCAGCTTGAACAATATTGGTCACTCGAGGGGTGCGTGATAGACTTACCTCCACGTGGTGCACCCTGGGCAACGTATACTCATACGGCAAAAAAGTCTATTAACTGGCCGCTGACCTCTGACTTCAAACTACCATGACCACACTGTATTTCATCTTTGAATCTCTCTTCTGCTCCCCCTCTTGAATTTTTTTCACTTTGATGTTCTTCCCTTGTGTAAAGCCTGAGGTCAGCTAAAGGGCTAATGATAACCATCAAAACGCCTGCAATTTGATATAAATAAATAAATATTGGTCACTCGATGGTTCGCCTTCTAGAATTCACATAAGAGGATGTCTTCCTGTTTCCATTCTTGTGCTTTGATCACATCGTATAATTCGCAATCAAAACATTCAACATAAGTGACGCACTTCTTAAATGGTTTCTGTTTTTTTGGCACACCCGGTTTTTAAATACCTGCTTTAATCGTTTCGATTCGATTATTGGGTGAACTGAGAAGCTTTGTTTGAACCAGTCTAAAACGGTCAACCTCCATTTCACTTTTTCTTTAGATGCTTGTATATAAGCGCAACTATTGAGCCCCTTCAAACTCATATTTCAGTTGATAAGCTTTAAAACACTTTGTTCAGGTCATATACCGGCAGATGAACCAATATGCAAGACCATTCATTCGGTCAAATCCTCCGATCTGCAAGTTCTAAGTATTTCGAACATTCTACGACCTAGAAACTCAAGGGAAAGTAGGCAGCTCAACTCCTCCGGAACACAGAACAAAACAGGACACTTGTCCTTCTAACTCATTTGTAATTTTTGTGTATGATAAAAGAAATAATAATACATTTCTAGACATAGAAATTAAATATCTCCCACCACGTTCACTTCCCAAGTCTGCAACATATTCATCTTCCTCATTTTTGTGGTCATACTTTATAAAATACCCGAAATCTCTTACAGTTAAAAAGAACAAATGCATTATCATAGACATAAAGAAATGGTTATGCGGATACAACTGCGACAAGTGTTAGTTTTTGCAAGGTTTACGGCTAACAGTGCGTAAAAGCGCTCATAAATAAGTTCTACTTCTATATTGGTTGGCAGTGCTCCTGTGGTGTAGTGGTTATCACGTCTGCCTAACACGCAGAAGGTCCCCAGTTCGAAACTGGGCAGGGTCACGTGGAGCAGTGGCGCTGGTGTCGCGTTGGCCGCAGCACATTGGCAGGGGTGTGCGATAGACTTACCTCCACGTGGTGCACCCTGGGCAACGTATATTCATACGGCAAAAAAGTCCATTACCTGGCAGTTGACTTCTCATTTCAAACTACCATCACCCCACTCAGTGCCATATTCGACTATTTCCACAGTACTCACCTCACCTTTGTTCTACCTTTGTGTTTGTCTCTTACATCTTTGAAACACTCTTCTGTTCCCCCCCCCCCCTATCGACTTTTTCAATTTGATGTTTCTTCCCCTCTGTGAAGCCTGAAGTCAACTAAAGGGCTAATGATAACCATCAAGACGCCTGTCATTTGATATAAATAAATATTGGTTGGCACTACCACCAGAGACATCGATAGCATGTCGTTGTACTTATCTCCACATCTATGAAGCTTGAAGCTCATAGGGGCTGCTTATCCAACTGAACATGTAGCGGACTCTGATACGTTTGATTTAGTTAAGCCGCTTAAGACCACCTATGATCACTACACTTTCTCCGCAACTGAACGACAAGAAACACTTTTGATTGGTGGTTAGATCATTTTAATTTATCAACCGGCCAACAAGCACCGAATTTCGTAGACAATCATTTGTTCAGAAAACCCAAGAGGCAAAGTATATTCGTAATGCAAAATATTCCCCTAACCTATAAGTGAAAATCCTATAACCCTGATTTCAAATTCGAATGCAGTAGACATCTATTGCTACTCCATTTCGGCTGCTTTTATAAATTAAATGTGGGGTATGCGATAGACTTACCTCCACGTGGAGCACCCTGGGCAACGTATTCTCATACGGCAAATAAGTCTATTAACCGAAAGTTGCCTTTGACCACTTCCACAATACTCGCCTTACCTTTTTCTCTACCTTTGCATCTGTCTGTCGCTTTTACATCTATGACTCATTCTTCTAATCCCCCTATCGACTTTTTTCACTTTGATGTTCCTCCTCTCTGTGAAGCCCGAAGTCAGCTAAAGGGTTAATGATAATTCTCAAAACGCCTGCCATTTGAAATAACTTACAAATTATGAATTACTGAAACCCAAATCGCAAAAAGTATAGTAATTGATCAGTTACACACTGATTCCTTTCCAATTATCCCAGATAATTCACTTGCCCAGGTATGTGCAAGGGGCATCAAAAATAGGTCTAGGACAATAAGTGTGCTTTGGCCCAATAAAACCTAACAAAGTTCGTTTGCTACTTACTAAATATAAGTAGACACATTAAACACAAAACGATTTCAACATACTTAAATACAATTCAAGAAAATAGAAATAAAAGCTGTACAAAATAGCATTATTGTTGTTAGGAAATTTTCCCATCCTCATGGAGCCAACGCCTTTCTAGTTCTTTCAATTCTCTTTGCCTTCGATTGAATTTGTCCCCATCAGAAGTAACTACCATGTCTTGAATACTCTGTAATTGTTCGTCTAATTTCATATACGTTGTGGTGGGCGATAGAACAACTTGATCGTTCATTTCTTCAATAACCGATTCCACGACGTTTTCTGATTCTCTGTAACCCACAGACCACTGCTCTAACCATCGAGAGTCCTTCAACAAGTTTGGAAAAGGTATATATTCACTTCGAGCAGCATTTAATAGATGGACACAGGGCAATCTCCATTGAAGATTAAATGAACAAGAACAGTTACGAATAGAGGGGTCTGAGGAGACTTCCATAGGAGAACTTGATGATTCCTCAAGATGTCTTACCAGCACAAGTGCAACAGGATCGGAGAGAAGACACAAAAGAGACTGTATATCTTCGGGTTGACCACGGAGATCAATTCTGTGAATTTCATTATCACCTCCTTCCTTAGATGAGGCAGCAAAATCCAGGAGTCTCCTTGCACATCCATCCAAATCTTCTTTGGTATGTGGAAGTAAGGATTCAAGATGATTCAGAAAGTCAGAACTACGATTAATTATGCCGAAAGTCAGTTTATCCAGCCTCAAATGTTCAGCCCAATGATTGGCAAAAGGAAGCAACCTCTGTTCCAGAACTTGATAAAATGAAGGACCGAGGTTATTAATTCTGTGAAGGGAAGAGGCATATTCTTCCGGATCATGAGTTATCACAGCATTAAAGAATTCATCAAAAATAGCTTTCCTGTGAAGGTTGGAGAACTTTGGATGTTTAAGACTATCCTTGACGTGGGATAACACACTCTCTCTATAGAACAATATCCGCACGAGGGGGAATTCCGCTTGAATGTCGGAACAATTAAATGGAGGAGCGTCGACAAAAATCGTTTCGATGCCGTCCCATCCATGTCTCATTAAATTCTTGAAAGAGTGGAGAATCGGTGTCAAATTTTCCGCATATTCATAATCTAGCACAATGGAGTACATCACAGTTCGGCTCTCCAATTTTCTGTCAACAACTGAAAAATCGTAAGCCCATAAAGATGAGGAGCCAAATAGACGAATTTGGAGGACTTCAGGATAGAGATTGAAGGTTTTAATCAGATGTGGTGTGGTAAAGGATACTGCATATCGTTCACCTATCCCATTCGAAATCACATTTGCAAAACCATCATTTTCAAGACACTTCAAGGTGAATTCAGGTGTGTAGGGAGAATGACGCTTTGGTTTCAGTTTTCGCTTTAAATTTCGAACCTCAGCAGTTGTCATACAAACATCAAAATTATCTAAAAATAGGGGTTTTAAAAATGAAACGAATAGAGATACCTTGAATAAACTGTTTAATGGCAATTTCGTGTTCGTTTTTCTTAAGCAGAGATCTGACAACCGATTGTTGTTCGAAAGTAAGACGACGTTTACTTCGATAGAGATTTCCGGATGCTCCTGAAATTGGATGATTATGCCGCATTTCGAATCTGTTGATATGTAAAGCATTATTACGACAAGAGATGAATACTGCAGACCGGCACCCTGTACGAAATGATCTATTTTTAGATAGGAACAAGATAACAGGAAACTCAGAACGACTAACCTTCTCTCATGTTTTTCATTCGCAGATTCCTTTTTATAGCCATAGTGGAAACACTCGTAGGCCAGTTTCTTGTAAACTAAATCCCGATGTTCCAAGTCATCTTTCGGCCATGGGCAAGTGTGACGCTTAGTATAAACACAACCTGTTTTCTAAAATTGAGCATAATTTGTGAAATTGACTGCCTACAGTTTGAAATTCTTCCATTTTCTCCTCAAACTCACGAAATGAGCTGAAAACCATGGTAGGGAACATCTCAGTAAACTGACTTGTATAATCGGCTATAGCGGAATAAGCTAGAAAGCGTGATCATCAATATGCCAACGCACTTACGTTCCGGTTTTGGTTTAGCAGGTCGTATAACTATGTCATGATTGTGAAGCATATGGAATTTCGAAACATAAAGAAAGCCATTTCGGCATCCAACAGTAAAGAAGGACTCGCAGCGGGAGCCGTTCCTAAGAATGAAATAGAAGAATTTTCATTATTACTTCGGCTTGCTTTCGGCACAGACATAGTGAATAGATTTATAAACTAATGTTTGGCGGTGTTGATGATACTCAGGAAAATGGAATGTTCGTTTAAAAATATATTGCAACCCAGTTTGCTACAAGTATAATATTCAAAATGAAAGCTAACTTCTTGGAAGGCTTCAAATGCTGTTTGAAACTCTATGTAACTATTATAGCCTTTCCCCGAAAAGTGTACAGCAAATATATCTGAAAAGTCCATCAAATGCAAAAGGTCAGAAGATTAAATTTTGTGCTCCAACAGTCACGGTTTAAAACGATTTCACTTATCATATAGACTTCATTTCATGTCATTATAAGTAATTTATTATATATTACAAAGTTCAAATATTAACGTTGTAATATTGTGTTTATTATCGAGTTGTCGGATTTAAATCAATTTGCTAGATCTCGCTTGGGTATTGACAGTTAATATTTGGGGTAGCAAATACAATTTCTGATCTTAACTTCCAACAAGAATGGTGACATATTATCCGTACTCAAAGCGGATGCAGCCAATCCATGAACCGATAACTGGGGGTTTGATATTATTCATGTATGCGAAGAAAAGTTAAATTATATATAAGATAGTACTGTAATCAAAAAATGCTTTTGTTAAGAGAAATTGCTGTGGATCTTGAATGTCGGGCAACACAGATCAATTATAGGTGAAAGGAACACGACAAATGTGGGCACCGGGTAGAGACTGCTTGATTATACTTATACTGTTGTCCCAGTATCGACCAAAGAATGAAAAATTGACATAACTGATGTCCTGCATATCAAAGTTAATATATAAACCCTAACAAAATTTTAACAAATTGAGGTAGCAATTTGTTCACTTCATGCTGATTAAATGTAATTAGTTAAATGGTTATTTGCTTCCACATCCACATTCTTTTATTTTTATAACGATTTCAAATTCAGACTTTATGATATTTATCAGTAGCACCTAAGTTGACTTCAGTTTTCAAAAGTGGAGGAGCATATGTAGACTTTAGGACGGTTAACAGTAGTTCGTTAGTTGATTTCTGGCTTCCCAGTATCACCTTGCTTCTGTCGCTGTCTTTAGGGCTGGACACCGAATCAGGAGGTTCTTCTCCATTTCCTCCTATAGGTCACATAGGGCTCATGTTGATTGAACGTATACTCCTATTATGTGAAGGTATTGTTACTTGAAATTAAGAATTCTCTCCTTATTAAGGTTTTCGTTTTGTGGGAAGACGTGCCTTGCAAAATTGTGGTCCCTTTCTTAACAAGTATGTAAGCGCGCTCATTGACTATAATGCCACAGTGTCCGGGGTTTCATTGAAGAAGTACTGTTTTGGTGTTTGCATCTCGGCAGTTTTGGGTGGTTCTCTGGATTCAATTATATTTATTGCTGGCTGTAAGTCCAAAAGAATTACTGCTTTGGTGAATGTAGTATCAAAGCAGCACGATTGGCCTAGTGTTATCGTAAGGGTCTCTATTTCTCCTTCGAATGCGGATCTATTGTATCTCGCTTCTGCGAAGAAAGAGAATAGTTCAGAGTAAACGTCCGTATCAATAACTGCTTTTTTTCTACGAATTACCAGTCAGTGAGGACGTGCAGCCATTAATCTGCAGGATAGTTTACATTATTTGTCTCAAGGGCCAAAAAGCACATTTGATCTGGAGGGGCGACTGCTTTTCTGAAATGGCCAAGAAGTTGCATTCAAAGTTTACTTCAGTGTCCGTCAATAGGTTTTGCGTTAACGAGGCTTTTCGTTTGTCATCAATTTGTAATACTTTTTTCAGTTCAATGGCTTTCTGTATTAGGCTTGCATTTTTATGTGCCTTGGCATAATTTCGTAGGTGCAGAAGAATTTGTCCCCGGGAATGCCCAATATATTCTCAAAGCCTTCTCCTTGATAAGGGAACGTATTGTGGTGTTCCCTGTAACTAGGAGCATCCCATCAATGGGTGTTGATTTTATCTCTCCGGCAACTAGTCGTAATGCGTCTTCTTGAGTGGTTTAAGAATCACCCGAGAGGCTGAAATGATTGGCTCACGGCAATACAGAATTTTTGATTGAACAAACATCCTGCAAGCGGTTTTAGGGTTTTGAACATATTTGAGTTGGTAGTTCGGGCAAAGTACTACTCACACGCTGAGTGAGTCCCTTTCACCCGTGTACAATTATCTTATTTAACTCTATTAGGGGTGTGCGATAGACTTACCTCAACGTGGTGCATCCTGGGCAACGCATACTCATACGGCAAAAAAGTCTACTAATTGGCAGTTGACTTCTGACCTCAAACTACTATGACTTATTAACTGGCAGTTAACTTCTCACTTCAAACTACCATCACCCTAAGCGGCAGTTGACTTCTGACCTCAAACTACTATGACTCCACTGTATGTCATATTCGACCACTTTCACAGTACTCACCTCAACTTTTTTATACCTTTGTGTCCCCCTGTCTCTTTTACATCTTTGAATCTCTCTTGTATTCCCCCTCCCCAACTCTCGACTAACTTCCACTTTAATGTTCCTTCCCCTCTGTGAACCCTGAAGTCAACTAATGGTCTAATGATAACCATCAAATACCTACCACTTAATATAAATAAATATTTAACTCCATTATCAATTGAGTAATAATGCCTTTTCTTATGCATTTCCCATTTAAACCTCATAAATGTAAAACTTTTATTAATTGGTTTGGTATTTGTGCATAATTCCTTTATTATTTAGATGAATTCAGTGGAGAAATATATCGTTTCATTGATAAGCTTTCATGTATCATACATATTTCTATCTTTGCCTCGTGAATTGAATGGAGGAGCCAAAAACTAAACTGTATAACTTAAAAATAGCTTGAATGAAAAAATTGGAAAAAAACTAAAGCAACATTAGTATATTCCCACAAAAAACTTTGCGCAATATAAATGTAGTTTTTGATTACTCTTTGAAAGTCACAAACTTTCATATTTTTTTATTAAGCCCACTTTAAGTGTGTGTTATATTGAACTAGGCCAAAACAAGGCTTCAACCTGATTAAAAAACAGGATATTTTGCAAGAAACAAAGCTCAATGAATTATTTATTTCTATGATATTCCTAATTTTCACTTTCACCGTTTGAAACGATTAAATGCTTATTTCCAATTTAACAATAGACTATAGACTATATGTTTTTGGAAATAGTAAAATAAGCACACATTTGGATAATCGTTTGCAAGGTTAGCTAAAGAGTTGTAATCTTGCCGACAATACCGTCTAATCCATAACATCATATTTCAACGTAGAAAGTAACATCCAGTGATTGCATTTTATTAAAAATTTCAATAATTCACTTATATACTAACTGATAGGATTTTCGAATATTCAAAACAGGTTAACAGTAATACATTTCTTATAGTACTTATTTTCTTCCCAATTATGTAAAAGTCATCTTCCTTCATCAATAGTGTATCCTTTATTTAATTAAGTAATGAATATCATTTTTTAGAAAATGCTTCCAACTTACAATGATGGATCTTCTCCCCAAACTGTCCAGAGGGGTGTTTCTCGACCAAATATGGCAACGTCTGAGCTCTTTTCTGCACTTTCAGCATCTGTAATTATAATATACTTCATACTTATCCTATTTTTCTAGGTGTGGTCAGAGGGTAAAAAGCGAGCTGAATCAGCTTATCAAAACTACGCGAAAATTGACTCTCTTCGTCCATTCTTTGACGTTGAACCAAGGGAAGTTCTTGCAAGGATCTTGAAATCCGTTGATCCTCGATCACCGTACAATCTAGATGCAACTAACACGGATCTCTATGGTCCATTCATGGCTTGCCTTACTCTGATAGCTGTTATACTGTTTGAAATGAAGTTATCGAATCACCAAGTGGTATGGTGCTATTTCGTTCTCTCATCCCTCCATTTCAGCAAGAAGGAACACTAATGGGATCAGCTTTTTTAACCTGTTTTGGCTATTGGTTATTGACTTCTTCTCTCCTTCTAGTAGCCTGTTACTTTGGGAACTCACAGATGAATTTGGTCCACCTTCTTTCCTCAGTGGCACGTCATTTTGCGCTATTGTATTGAATTACTTATTTAGGGATATGGAATTTGTTCTACCTGTGCTGTTCTGTTTATTTGCGCCGCTATTCACAATGGAGCATCAGAAACAATATTTTTCCTGCTTTGGGTTATACTATGCGGTTCATCGGGGGCTAAAATGGTGACACTAAATTTTATTCGTCTGACTTTCCTAGGCCATGTTAATGTGGAATAATATACCTCTGAAGACGCCACGTATAACTGGATGTATTTTTGCACTTTCTTCACATATGTTGTTTGTTATCTATCTCCACTTTGCTTATCATACGATCGTCCAGGGTAAGTCTAAACTAGCCGATTTAAAACAGTTTCTTTAGATATCTCTAGTGTTATCTCGCCATCAGGTAATAACTAATGACAGCCCAGTCAACAATTTCCTCCTTCAAAACCCCTTGTGTATTTATTGGAGAATCCAGAATTCAAGCAATTTAACCAACTATAATTTTGTTTTGTTTATAAAAATATTATCATTGAAAATAATTATAGTTTATTTTCGTGGTCTTCTCACTATACAAGCAAGTACATAAGTCTGTGGGTACAGTATAAAAGGATTATTTTATGTGCAAAGCAGCAAAATCCGCCTTACCCATATATACACTATCGATAACTCCGTCCCCCCATTTTCTAATCTAGAGGAATAACAAAAGTAAAAATGCATTAATTACCTCCGACATAATCTTCTCTGGATAGCCGCAACCGTATAGTTCGTGGTTTATAAAGCAGTTAGAGAGGATTATAAGCCTTTCTCTGTCCAGAGCGTTATAGTTTTTCTCCAGGAACGCTTTACGTACTCTCCATTCTGTTGGGTTTTCAAAGGTGCGACGCATCGTTTCTATGTCCTTAGTGCGGTCGGTCATCACAACTTTCTGAAACAAGGTATATGTAAACCTTTACGTGCAGTAAAGATTGTAGTTAGATGGGTTGAGCGACTAAACGGGTTAGTTTCAACGCCGAGGTTTCAGTTTAAAAAAAGTATTAGTGATGTCAATAGTTAAAATGCATTATTGCTTATCACTTACGATTAGATAAAATCTAAATGAGATTACTAACTAATAACTGGAGGGTTTGAGTTATTTTAAAATATTATTAAAATCAGAGTTGGAAGAAGTATATTTGTTCCATACTGTACAAATCCTCCTTGCATTCATACATGATACTACTAATCATTTGCAAAAACAACGAGATGCATAGTCTTATTAATTTGCTTTCTTTGTATAATAACTCATTTCAAAGATAATTCGATTTTCTAATTAATGTCATACCCATACGTGTTTTTGGGCCGTTTTTATAGATATTTGATAAATTGTGATTATTTATAATTTACAAGCTAAATATCAGGAAATATATTTCACTGGGATTTTACCATCGATTATATTCATGAAGGGGTATTTTCGATATATTACAATTTCATCTATTTGAAGTAAAATAGTCAGCTAACTGATATCATATCAGGTGTGAAAACGGCTTTCATGATAAAGGTATTAATGGTCTTGAATACTAATCAGGATAAATTATGCCACTTTCGCATTTATGTCATTTACGCTCCTAAACCCGATTCACAAAGAACAGGCTTCTCTACATTGTATACTTCGATGAATTTTGGAAGGTTTTATAACCTTTGGAACTCGCCCAGTGTGCAATATTCAATCTCATCACCAGATATGCGCCTCACTTCCATGAATTCCATATGCGTAAACGGGAATTACTCATTAAACTCCAGTTGATCTTTCCCGTGATTTTGACGCAATCACTTTAGGTCGACATTCGCACCACGTGGGTGATGGAGGAAGAGCAACATCAGTATCTAATTATTACGAAATTCATATCGTCAAGGAAAACCAGTGTTGTATCAAATATCAGTCTTCGCAGACTAAATAGAGAACAATTCAGTAGTCATCTCCGCAAAAATTCTTAGCCAATAAGTCACTTATACCAACAGTTCAACTCGAACCCCTGTCACCGTCGAGTCCGACGTCCTGCGGACATCTCAATACGATTTCATCAAGTACGACTACTATAACCGAATTTCTGTGCAAAAGTAAAAGCTCTACAAAATATTTCATTGCAATTGGACAATTGCGATACTTTACGACCAGTCCAAGGGCAGTGCACTAAGTAGATGCAGCGGGACTGAAGATTATTACGAAATAACGGTTCGTGTTCACGGGCTTATACAAAATTAGTGCTCCAGAATTTAAACAGCAGCTAAGACCATGCTCAGAGCTTTACGATGCCCCCCTTTAACCTTCATATTAGTTTGGTAAATTGATTCTCATAAATTTATTGAACTGGATTTTACAATGAATTTCGTAAAATATTTTCACCCCTAAGGTATTTTCTATTGATCCTGATTTATTGAGAAAAGGTAGTTTAATGTTCTCCAAGTTTTTAGATGACAAAGAGGCAGCTTATTGTGTTTCACAAGCTCGATTTAATTGCTTCGAATTCTAGCAGGACAGATAGAATTTGATGGAGAAATTTTCTTGCTCCACTACGACTAGCCAATCGAATTCTGCCATGATCGGACGTTTAAATCTCAATTCTGGGGCACAAATAATTTCCGAATTCGGCCAACAACTCTTTAGTCGATAGAATAGTCTTATCTGATTCAATAAGAATACGCAATTTTTTTGAAAACGGGAAATAGCATGTCAGGATATTTGACAGTTTATAATAGACAGAGGGTGGCAGATTCATTTAATAAAATTATTTGACCTATTTTGCTGCGTTTATCAACCTCTTTCGAAGTGTCGAAAGACATGTTATACTTTCAAATGAGAAGTAGTCACTCCATTTCGTAATGACTTTGAGCAAAACGAGTGACAAAATATTCATCAAGGCAAAAGCAGCAAAAGTAGAATGGCAGACAGCTTCGAAAAAATAAATACCGGGGTTAAACGTGAAAGGCATTTTGTTGATGCGTTTCATCAGTAATACAAATTCATTTGTGCCCTATGTTGACCAATCTGGGGTCAGAAATAGGCCTAAAATATTAAAAAAACTATGTATATCAAATTGCAGGTGTTTTGATAGTTATCATTAGCCCTTTAGTTGACTTCGGGCTTCACATAGGGTAGGAGGAACACCAAAGTGAGAAGAATCCGGGAGGGAGGAATAGAAGAGTGACTCTGTAAGAGGCAGACAGACAAAAAGGTTCAGAAAGGGTAAGATGAGTACTGTGATAGGGGTCGACTATGCCATACAGCGGGGTGGTGGTAGTTTGAAGTGAGAAGTCAACTGTCGATTAATTGACTTTTTGGCCGTATGATTATACGTTGCCCAGGGTACACCACGAGGAGGTAAAACTTAGATAAATGCTTCTTCAACATTCACCTGTTCCTAGAGAGGTTGGGTGTGAAAGTAGAACACCAACATGGTTTAACAATCGAGGTAATATTTTGACCTTACTGGGGTCAGCATTTTAGTGACAAAATTACAAGTAAATCGATCATAAAATTTGTGCTTTTATCTAAATGCAAATTACCCTAAATATGTTTGATTATTTCTAGCACAAAACAGAGGGATCGAACATTCGCATAGATAAAATACAATAGAGACTGCTGGGATGAAATTTGCTTTTTTACAACAACGCATTTTAGATATTTTATTAAAAATAAATAGTGTCATCGATTGTGAAAAGATGCGTTTAGGCTTTGTGAAACACACCTCAAGAATGAATATTTCCAGTCAATCTAAAGTCTTTTAGCCTTAGGACAAATAGAGAAAGCCAAAGTCGTTCATATAAAATGGCAAGCGCCTTGATGGTAAGTTGACTTCAGTCTTCACAGAGGGAAAGGAACATCAAAGGCACAAAAAGTGGAGAGGGGGGAGGAACAGAAGAGTGTTTCACAGTTGTAAAAGAGACAGACACAAAGGTAGAAAAAGGTGAGGTGAGCACTGTGGAAGTAGTCGAATATGGCATAGAGTGAGGTGATGGTTGTTTGAAGTGAGAAACCAACTGCCTGTTAATTGACTTTTTTGCCGTATGGGTATACGTTGCCAAGGGAGGTAAATCTATCGCACACCCTGAGAGAGTCAAAGTACCGATAGCCTAATCTGTAACCACTACCGGTTTTACGGCTCATAGATTAATAATGGGAGCATCCTTGAAGCCATTGAAACTTTAACCTTACTCTGCAGCTAGCACACTGAAATTGACGAGAATGTGCCAGACGCAAAAAACAGTATCTTTCACTGACCAAATCAAAGCTGGATTTGTATTGATAGACACACGTGGTTTCAACAACCTAAATACCCTCAGTTTTTCTACATAAGCACCAGTCTGTTAGTAAGTAGCAAGATCGACACAATTTTCTCTTCCTGATCTCTTTCATTAACCATGATCCATTTATCTTCCTTGTAACCACAGACATGGCATGGGGAGGTAAGTTAAACCCGGTGGTGAGAGGTAATAAAAACCAGCCCGTGTGAAAGTCCATCGACTTGCTCCACTGAATTTTGATCAACCCAAGACAGACTATCACACCATTTCTATCTTTTATACCTCACAAAAATGATATTTAAATATTTCAGACCATCTACACCGATCTGATTTCAATTTCAGAACGATGGGACTGATCACAAACACTCAATTTAAAAGAAAAACTATTATAAGCAAATAAATAGCACTGATTTAAATGCTAGCAACCTGCGTTTAGTAAGTTACGAGTGACGAAACCTCAACTAGAGATTTTAGGTAAGGGGTGTGTGATAGACTTACCTCCACGTGGTGCACCCTGGTCAACGTATACTCATACGACAAAAAAGTCTATTATTCGGCAGTTGACTTCCGACTTCAAAACACCATCACCTCACTGTATGTCATATTCGACTACTTCCACAGTACTCACCTCATCTATTTCACTCTACCTTTGTGTCTCTCTCTTTTACATCTTTGAAATACTCTTCTGTTCCCCTCCCCCTCTCGACATTTTTTCATTTTGATGTTCATTCTTCTCTGTGAAGCCTGAAGTCAACTAAAGGGCTTATGATAACTATCAAAATGCCTGCCATTTGATATAAATAATAGATTTTAGGTAATGCTAGCATTTGTCGGTGGCATAACAATTAATGTACGTAGTCTCTTCCCTATGTTCATCTGTGCGCTGGTGAGGGCAAGAAAGAAATCGGATTTCCCACTTAAAAAACTCCATGGTACTCTGTCACGTGGGATAAGTGTTGGAAAACACTAGCACCAAATTAACAGGAAGTCCAATTGATCGCAATAACCGCCTTAGGTAATTCAAAAAGTGCTAATAATGAATATTCAAACAGAGACACAAAGTATCAAATAAGTTACATCGAATTAAGACAAAAGAATATATATTGCAATAAATATGAGGTAAAGCATAAATGAAGATACACAGCAGTCCTACCCAAAACTCCAGAAAAAATTCGAGGTTTATTAGACACATTTTTTTCTAGACAGCCACTACCGCAGGCAATAAAAGTTATCAGGACAAAATCGCTTAGTCACCGTCTCCTCCTCTCGGACTCTATTTACATTATCCATACAGCCCCCTAAGAAAAACCCGACCTAATTTGATTTACTCCAGTAAAAACAAGTTCAAAACTCAGAAAGATTAATGATCAGTAATTTGAATAATGCGGCAGAATAGAACTGTGGAAGATTGCCAATCGATTCGAAAACAGATAAAAATACAAACTAGTACAAACCAGCCAACGAATCTTAAACCCAATTCCAAAAATTTGGCTATTGTTTCCACCTAATTGCCCCGAAAGGTAAGCCCCAATGGAAGGCTATCAAAAACTCCCAGAAAATAAAATTTAGGAAAGTGGAACATGTAATTGGAGTAATAAAACGACGGTTCGAAAGCTAAAAAGACATGATCTGACTTTCTCGCGAAATCGTTAAATATTACATTGAAAGTAGTATAACCTCGGTCGCAATTATAGCCCTGATACGACCTGTGTGCAAGGCAAAATTAGAAAATAAAAATTTCACAAAACTTCGGTTATTTGCTAGCAGAGCATCAACCATTAGTAAATTTGCATAACTACTAACGCATATGTCGAACGAATACGCACACATATGCCAAAATCAATTAGGTAATTTGCATAACCACACTGGCCTCTTAGATGAAACCGGGACGGATGCTAGAAAAAACGCTTAAATTGTGTACTTTTATCTGACATAATTACGTTGGGAATGACAACTCCTGCCTTTTAGAAGACACTATATTCCAACGACGTATTATTCCGGAAGATTTCCTGGTTGATTAAGGTCCACGCCTCCGAGCTCCCCTCCCTCAATCCAATCGTATAGCGGAACTACCAACACGCTGCGAGGAAAGCCAATGCACAAATAAGCGCTATAATTGTTAACACCGAAAACGACGGCCCTTCACCAAGTGTTTAGCAGCCACTAAACAAGAATTCGACAACCCCATCACAATTGTAAAGTGCATATGAAATAGTGCCAAAAGCAAAAGTTCATAGCACTATACTTGACCTGAACCATAACTAGTGGTTGGCACTAAATAACTAAACAAGTTAGACTAAACAGCTTACATAACAAACAACAATTGAGAATTTGAAATGCAGCCAAGTAGCTGCAAGAGACCAGTACGATCTATTGGCAACTGTTAGTCCCTCCTACACAAGATTCCGTGACTAAAATTAAGGACAAAAAAATAACTGTGGCATGCACGATCAAATCATTGCATCTTAAAAGCATAAAACTAATCACTGAAAGTAAATCATTCCCCATCCTGACTAACGAGAACTCTGTTTATATGACTACATCACCTACTGAATTAAATGACCGACCGCACTCGTCAAGTAAGATATGGAAAAATGCTCTAATAGAGGTTGCTAAGACCTCGAAAAAAAGGGAAATATGACAATCAGGCGACAAACTAGGTCTAGTCATCGTTCTAATAGACGCGCCCTCCTCCCCCACGCCCGCGTATAGTACGCCAACCAGTACGGCATAGGCAGAACCAACCAGCATGTACACTAACCAATCACAACGTATAACGTTCCACGCAGGCTGCTGACTACAATCAATAAGACAGCCCTACAACAAGTAGTCGTGGCACCCAGGAAAACTAAAATAAAACCAAATAGACCCAGATAGAGGAAAACAAACCCGCTCATTTTCGCTGTACATTTATTGCGTACTAAAAGAGGATTCAGAAACTGATGATTAACTTTGTTCGCCGAAACGTTTCACACTAAAGGAAATAAAAAGATGCAAATAAAAGAGCAGGGAGTAAAACAATATTAACAAAAGCAAAGGCGTACCAAAGCTGCAGATAAAACTGGGCACTCTGGATTTGCTCTGGAGTGCCAGAAATGGTAATAATTCTGTCCTCAACGCTTTGATCCTGAGAACTTATCTTGATGTCAGCTCCAGACTCCTTTCGTACTTGATTAATACGAGTCCCACCGCGACCCATAATTGCACCAATCATCTAAAATCGAAAAATTAGGGGAGGTGGTATTTAAAATCAAATGGTCTTAAAGCTTCATATCTTATGGCGATACGAACCTTATTGCTCACAGAGACTTGAGTAGTGCTAGGGGGAGGAATGAGGTTCATCCCAACCGCAGCGCCGGGAATTCTTTAAAAGTAACAAGCATGACAGATACTATGGGCAGATTTCATAACATAATAAATTAGATGAGACTTACCCACGCATCATTCCAGCCATCATTGCAGCAGCGGTAGCGGCATCACCGGCGGGGCCAGAAGTCGTTCCCCCGGGATGATTTTGGCCACCAGTAGCAGCCAGCATAGCGGCAGCGGGTGGTAATCCGGAAGCAATGGCTTGGCTAACAACCGCGGCTTGGGTTACACTGCGTGGTGTAGCACCACCAGTGAACAAGCTAGCAGCAATCATTGAGTTTTGCGGGTAATTATTGTTAGTAAAATTGCTTCGACGATTACCATAAGAACTATTTGAAGAGTTGATACCCATGCCACACCAGCCGCCGTATTGCATAGCCATCGCCTCATTAAAGCTACGTGCATCGTAATTTTGTCTTGGACCTTTGGCTGGAGCCCCTTCGAGCAACTCGCAAATAGCTTGAAGACAGCTTATAACATGCGAGACACTACCGACCAATTGAACAATACGGTCAGTAGAATCGGGACACAGCATTTGGTAGACTTTGAGAGTTTTCAACATAGATTGCTTAAAAGAATGTATTATAAAATGCTGGACATGCTTACTTCACGAAGTTCCTTGATTTTACTTCCTCCCTTTCCGATGATACAACCGGCCTGGCTTTGGTGAACAAGAAGGCGTAAATCAACCAAATCTTCTTGCTGGGACAAGGCTTGCTAAAAAGATAAGATAACTATAGCATAACATTACCCGATTCAGGGTATTGGCCATGATTTCCATAACCGAATTAACATCACCCTCCAGAATCAGGATTCTAAAAAGGTTGTTTTATGAATGCTGGGCTTGGAAAAATACATAGGAAGAAAAGGATATATGGGAAATTAGGGGGCAGAGTTCATACCTTTCGGGTCCGTTGCTATCAGGGATATTAATGGTGACAGAATACTGTAGGGAGTAGGCACCAAGTGAATAAATCAGCCCATCGCAAAAACATCATTGCGATTAAGGGGTGCGGACAGGGATAGACGAGAGAGGGATGGTGAAGGGGTTGGGCCGATTGGGTACGGGCGGGGTTTCGGGGTCGGGAATAATGGGAGATAATATGAAAGAGAGAAAGCCACTAGATTAGAGAGGGGTCTACTTGCAAAGGAGGCTACATTTGGGTCATAGAAAAGTACTCACCTCATCGCGGAGTTTCTTTATGTTTTCCCCGCGCTTTCCAATTATCAAACCAGCGGTCTAACAACGGTAAAGATACGAAAATATCTTACCTTCGTGGAGATCAAAAATCGTAACTCGATAGATGGCCCTTCGCGCATTATCTTTGCTGGGGGTTCATCCACTGCGGAATTATCATTTAAATAAACTAAATTATTACGTTCAGACGGCGTATCGGTGAGAAAATCCAGCTGAAAAAGCGATTAAAAATCAACAATGCAGACTCACCATATTAGGGCAACACGCGGTTTCAAACAAAAGTGTCACATACATCATATACTCCTAATAAATTGAGATAAACTGGTAGATAAAATTACCAAATGCCTTTTAGATTCGAATTCAAAATAATTTTTATTTGTTTTATAGTATTATTTAATAAAGGCGAGTTATTCATAAAGAGTTCAACTTAATAGATTTTCTAACAGGACTCGATTATTCCATTTTCATGACACTAATCTACATCCAACCCATTGTTTTAAATTTAGACCTCTTACTATCGATCTATTTTCATCTACTTGATTATACATTTCTAGATAAAAGGCTTCCTAAAATATTATTCTTTTCACATAAATGGGATATCTCGTTCATGCTTTAGTATAACATTGGTGTTAAATAAGAAATCAAATTCATGTATTTTTTGCTGTTGTCTTCGTAGTAGATATAGAGTTTTCGCCTTCATTGATAGACACCAAATTTTGAACGAACGTCTGAGCTTAAGATTTGAAGGAACTTGAAACTGCTTTATTTGCAACTATCTAACTAAATTTTTTTAAAAGTATGCAAATATGATTTTGACAAACCAGCCCGCAACCTTATAGACAATTTATTGCACTATTCTCGCTCAGGATATTATGACAGAAAATTCATTGGGAACCAGTTAGAAAGGACCTAATTTCATTATGAAACCAACACGAATATAAAATGTTAATAATTAAAATTTAGCAAAGTAGCGTAGCAGCAACATATTCATCTAGAATATGGAGACAAGGCAGTCAGCAAACAGATGACTTCACTCAAATGGCCGCAAAGTATATTCTTAAAGCAAATAGGAGAGATTTACAATTATTTTTTCTTGAATGAATGTAATTCGCTTTATCTCAATAGATTTTTCTGCAAGAACAAAAATGAACTCTATATAAAAACATTATCGAGCAATTTTGAACAAAACTATCAAAAATTAATGTCCCATTTGTTCTTGGAAAATGCGTTCCCTACCTTATTCGAAAGCATAGAATTTAACTAAGCTGTTAACAAGTGGGTCTTAAGATAATGATTAGATTAAAATAATAAAAAGCTATGTAATACAGAGAATGAATTAAAGTTTCCTAGACCAATTTAGTTCGAGGCTTTTTGCACCTTATTTGCCACCTTACTTTTGATTAGCCTAGAAGTTATGAAAATATGCCCCTAGTTTATAAAAGTAAAATTAGACTTCAAAATTTGATATCAACTTTAAAGCCGTATTACTATGTATGATTACGTGCTATTTTAAATAATCAAATTATAATCTAAGTAATTAAAACATTAAAATATAATTTAATTTACTAATAGCATTTCATTTTTATTTAACTGAACTAAAAACCTTGAAGGTTCGAAAACTTCAGGGTTAGTGACATTACAAAAAATTTGTATTCGCGAAATTGGGTGTACTCAACTTTGATGGAAATTGAATAAATGGAACAGTTTAATAACTTATACTTACTCGGAGAAAAGATTGGAGAGTAAGTTTTCAATTATAATTATATTTCTTTAGTGGTAATTTTGCTGAGGTTAAGATTTGTGAATGTCGAAAAACGGGCAAGAAATTTGCAGCAAAAATTATTAAGATGAAACGCAAAACTGTATTTGGGCATTACGACCAAAATTCACGTGGGATGACTCCGGTTGAAGTTGAACGTGAGGTACATGTTCTTCGATCTATCGACCACCACACAATAGTTAAACTGTACGAGATTTATGAACAAGAGGATTATTCCATCATTATTCTGGAGCTGTGAGGAAAATCATTTTTGTTTTAAATATCAAAATATAATTAACGGATCTCAAATTTAATTTCTTTAAATTATTATTTAACAGTGTTACTGGAGGAGAACTTTTCGACCGAGTTGCCGAGTTTGAAAGACTTGATGAGCAGGAAGCCGTTTACTTCATTGGACAAATTCTTCTTGGAGTTCACCATATGCATCAACTTGGAATTGTTCACTTGGATCTCAAAGTAAGTTAAAGTTAGGCAAAACAAAAATCGATTACTATCATGGTATCGTATCATAATTTTTTTATTTTTTTTGTTAGTGTCGTATTTACGCTAGTCTACCGACAATGAACCCTTATAAAATTTTAAATCTTGATATTACTTGTAAATATTTGCGATGACAATTTCCACAAATCATTTAGTGTTACAATTAATTTTGCCATTGTCAATATTTTATATTTAGGATGAATGAGGTTAATGATAAATGTCATAAAGAGTATCATTTGAAATAATATTTAATGTGAAATAAATAGTATGGACAGGCTTGTCAAATTTCATTTAGGTTAATTTAATTCACTTTTTCTTTAATAAATATTTCCAGAGATCGAATTTGACAAATGTGATTTTAAAGAAATAAAATTTTAAATAACATTAGCATAACGGATGTTCAAGAGCGTTGATAGTCATGGATTTTTCCAAAAGCGATTCTTAACTAATGTGTCAAAGAATAACTCTAGTCGAATTTAGAAAAAAACACTAAGTTTATTTCATATTACAATGTTTTGGGTTGTCTTAAAAATGAACTGCATTCCACATTTAAAAGCCAGTTTCTTTCTGTATTATCGACCGATTTGTTTCCTTAAATTAGCCTCAACTCAGGCAAGCAAAATGATGCAATTCAATTATTCGTTGTGGTCGATTAGATGGAAACTTGTTTATTAATTTAAAGCCTCATCTTTAAATGTGTAAATTATAATGGCGGAAATAACAATATTGTCAAAAATAATAATGTTACAAATTCCTTTCCCTTTTTACATGTCGGAAATTGTCAGTTTTATATATAGAGTCCCTGCGCATTCTTCAGCTCAGTTCAAGAAAAAATCCCTGGAATTTTGACATTTTTAAATAGTACTTTAAGCTTATCGTCTCTTATCCCTTAGAATCGAATCTGCTTCTAAACCACTTTGAGGAAATAAATGCATCAAAAAAGGATACTTATTTTCAACTGGGTAGCGGTTTTGCTTTATTTGTCCTTCATAAGATCTGAAGTAATTAAATAGATCGGTCCACTAAAAGCTATGCCGGCAACTCTATTTCCTTAATATCTCTCAAAATCCCGCTTGAATCTTCTGAAATTTCTCGTTTATTTTTCTGCGTTTGATGTAAAGGTGGGAGACTACAAGGTTAATTTTGTTTAGTGTCCAAATTTATGGGATTATAGGAGCTTTAATTGCAATCCCTTCTATTTCACCCCAAAATAGAGGGCAGTTAACCTCTTTGAACGTTACAAAGTACATCGAATATTCTGAATAGTTCCTCGTGTTAGCTGCGTGAATTAATAAGAGTGCAGTCTTATTACCCACTATTGAAATAACTTATAAAATTACTTTCATTGGTGCATCAAGGAGCTCATGAGATAAAATTTGAATGTCTTAATGTTGACTTGATCGATGGAGGTGGTTGAGCAACTGAAAATAACCCAGCTGATAGTTTGTTGATTTACTTTAATTTTATTAATACTTTTTTAACATGAATTTTGTAAATAATTCTTCATGGAGTAATTCATACTGAGAGAGTATTTTTGAAAAGTTTAAACAAATTTAAATGGACGAAACATGTGTTATATCAAACTTAGAACAGCCAACCCTGGAATTTCATTTAATTCTTTCGAGTTGTATTAACATGCGTTTGGGCAATTTATGTCAGAGACAAATAAAGTGGAGAAGTTTTAATTTTCATTGACGTCTTAGTTAAATTCCCTTCGAAATTTGTAGATTTTGCTAATAAGAATATTGTTGGCAATCTAAAAGGTATGATGTATTTCAAAGTGATGTATACTTTTTTAAAAAACTATCGAATCATTGGTTTTTATGTTTTTTTTTAACAAAATACAAACATCTTAATCTACGAGAATTTCGAGGGATTCAATGGGTGGAACTTAGATTTGTTAGCAACTAATAAACTTTTTAATCTGAATAACACGACCTATTTTAGCCCAATATTTGTAATAAACAAATAAAATTCCTTATTGGACAAGCGGAACGTTCGTCGTGTGGGTCTTATAAAATTAGTGCACGAAATTATGAATAATTTTCATTTAATTAATTTTGCTAGAGATATAACTGAAAAGCCCTTTTCTAGCAAATCGTCTTCGGAATAATTTAAACAAGAGCATCTTGCATGTCTTGGGTTGGTATATTGGTTCTACTGTGGGACACGTCATAGCTTAACACGTCATCGCATGCCTGCACGCCAGGATTGGGAGGTGCGACCGTACAAACAGTGACCAATCATTAACCTCTGTTCGTTTAACCTAATCCGCGATCCTGAGCATGATTAAGTTCCCTGCGTGATCACAGTTCATGTTCGGTATCTAGTGAATAAATGTATCGTTTATACGTCTCTGTTTCTCTAGACTCGGTAATTGGGAGAACCTATCACAAAGGTTTCTGAGACTT